CTATCTATGACAATTATCACTTCAATGATCAAAATTGCAGATATTTTACAGCACATGATGTAAACAATGTATTAACACATAATCACAATATCTCTGTAATCAACTTTAATGTTAGATCCCTAGGTAAACACTTCGATGATGTTAGTGCCTTGATTGAAACTATTGACAACAAATTCTCTTTTATTATACTCACTGAAACATGGTTGAAAGAGGATACTACTCAACTCTTTAACATGCCTAACTACTCGGCAATTCACAACTGTCGTCAACTTCAGAGAGGTGGTGGCACTGCTCTTTACTACCACCAAGAACTAACATGCTTAAAAGTAATTAGAACTAGAGACTGCTGTGGGGAGTATATCTTCGCCAGCTTCAGAGTCAAGGGTACCGAGTCTGTCCTGTCTGTGGGTGCAGTCTATAGAATTCCTAACACTGATGTGTCCGAATTCAATTCAAACCTTAGAAATCTAATACTAGATAACAGACTGAACAAAAACCATCTAATTATCGCAGGGGACTTTAATATTGACCTCTGCGAGCCTGAACACCCTACTGCTGTTAGCTTCCTCAACTGTATGAATTCCTGCTTCCTCATACCCTTAATCACTAGACCAACTAGAATCACTGATAGTACTGCCACGACTCTAGATCACATCTGGACAAACATAACCTCTCCGCTTACTTGAGGTATAATCACCGATAGCACTACAGACCATTACCCCACATTTCTCTTAACTAACATTAGCAAACCACCTCTTGAGTCAAGGGAGTTAAGCTTTAGGCTGCACAATGAAACTGCTATAAACAATTTTATAACTGCTGCTGCTAATGTCAACTGGGAGTCCGAATTAGGTAACATAGGGGACATCAACCTAGCAGTGCAATCTTTTCTTCAAACAACTCTTAGCCTTTATAACACCCACTGTCCTATGCTTACAAAACAAGTCACAAACAAAAGGCTTAACAATCCTTGGCTTACAAAGGGAATACTTAAATCCATTAACAAAAAACATGACCTTGAGAAGAAGTATAGGTTAGGAATTGTCTCCAAAGAATTCTCAAAGAATTACTCGTTATTGCTATCTAAAATAATTAGACGAGCCAAAACTAAATACAATGAAGATAAATTTACCCAAATAAAGAGCAACATTAAAAAAACTTGGAGCACAATTTCACAAATATTGGGATCAAAGAAGATTTTAAATAACAAACCAACAATCCTGTCCAATAACTTTGGTCAGCTTTCAGCCTCTGATTCTGCTATTGAGTTCAATAGGTTCTTCTCTTCCATTGGGTCATCCCTTGCAAATGATATTCCATCTTCCAGTACTGATGTTAAGGACTATCTTACAGGTAACTATCCACAGTCTCTGTACCTAAAGCCTACTAATTCCACTGATGTCAATGAGATAATCCTTTCCCTAAAAACCAAGTCTAGTGCCCTCGAGGAGATACCAACTTTAATTTACAAAAAAGCCTCTAGATGTTTAGCCCCTGCTATTGCATTGCTCTTCAACAAGTCACTTGAATTCCAAACCTTTCCAGACATTCTAAAAAAAAGCAAGAGTAACCCCTGTCCACAAATGTGGTGATTTCACAGATGTTAACAACTACAGACCTACTGTATATCAATCCTGCCTAACTTGTCAAAAATATTTGAAAAACTAATCTACAAGCAGCTTTACTCTTATCTAGCCAAACACAATATACTTAGCTCTTGTCAATACGGCTTCAGACCCAAAAAAAGCACTAACGATGCACTTATTAGTATGATTAACTTGATTCACGCAGCTCTTGATAAAAAGGAGTTCAATGTTGGGTTATTTGTGGACCTGCAAAAGGCTTTTGACACTGTTAACCACCAAAACCTTCTTCTTAAATTACATCATTATGGAGTCAGAGGACACTCCCTGCAATACCTCAAATCTTACCTTACTAACAGGCTCCAGTATGTTTCTGTGAATAATACAATTACTCCCACCCTACCCATCAACATTGGTGTTCCTCAGGGCAGCATACTTGGCCCTCTCCTCTTTCTCATCTACATTAATGACCTTCCAAATGCCTCCCAACACCTCAAACCAATTCTATTTGCTGACGACACAACCTTCATTTACTCCAGTCCTGACCCCCTTGCTCTAAATGCCACAGTAAATACTGAGCTAAAGAAAGTCCATCTTTGGCTAACTGCCAACAGACTCACCCTTAACATTGACAAAACGTTCTATATTCTGTTTGGCAATAAATCCTCTAATCAAATAAATCTCAAAATAAACAATACCCAAATTTGTAACAAATTAGATGGCAAATTCCTTGGCGTTCTCATCGACCACAAGCTGAATTTCCAGGGACACATTCTAAATATATCAAAAAAAGTTTCAAAAACTGTTGGCATTCTTTCTAAGATCAGATATTTTGTACCCCGCCCTGCCCTGGTGACTCTCTATTACTCCCTCATCTATCCATATCTCAACTATGGTATTTGTGCTTGGGGTTCTACTACCCAAAATCATTTACGTCCTCTAATTACTCAACACAAAGCTGCTATTAGGACAATATCCAACTCTAGCCCCAGACATCACTCGGTACCCCTACTCAAATCTCTGAATATGTTAGATATTAAGTCACTGCACATTCTCTCATGTGTATTATACATATATAAAACGCTGAACTGTAATTCCAATCCTGACCTCAAAAGATTCATTGATTCATTGCTCATGGGTTGTAACAGAACCCATGAGCACCATACCAGAAATAAATACAGTTTTGATTTTCCTAGAGTACGACTTAATCAAACTAGAAATGCTCTTCAAATCAAGGGACCCAGAATGTGGAATGACCTTCCCAACCATGTTAAAGACTGTACCTCTCTCAACCAGTTTAAGATAAAAACGAAGCACTACCTAATAAATTCCCTGTAACCTACCTTACCCCCCTGTTGTCAACCCATGTCTGTTTTTCTTTCAAAACAACGCTGTTTGAATGTAATTGTCTGTAATAATTTGTAATTGTATTTGTGCTGCTTTTTCAGCCATGCTCCCCCCTCTTTTACCTCTATTTTTATTTGTTCTCAACACATTTTATTCTTTATACCCATTAGTATTAAGCTTTAGTCATTAATGTTTTTCCTGCCCGAAACGCTCTGCGTAATAGTGGCTTTAGGCATTGTATGTACTAGCTCTATCTATTAATCCAACAAACTTTGTAAAATCTCTTGTATGTATGTACCTTACCTAAATAAACATTTATTTATTATTTATTTGGAACAATGCTGACCTTCAATAAAGAAATTCTGGAGGGCTTCTGTGCAAGGGTTAGGATGAGTTAGCCTAAGCCTTTTTATACCAATTTGACAGTTAATTTCAGTAACACGATCAACAACGCTCGGAATATTAAGTTCCTTTCTCTTGTTAAGTATCTTTGTAGTACGAGGGCACCCAAGTATTATCCTCAGGGTTTCGTTCTGCAATTTTTGAAGCCCTCCAAGCTTTCTTTCAGGCATCACAACAAGCAGAGGTGCAGCATAATCCACTAAAGATCTAATGTATGCAAGGTACATCATTTTGACAATTTTGATATTGACACCATAGCCTGAGTGATAACCTGCAACAGCCTTGAGAGTTATTGTTGTTTTAGATTTAGCTACTCAGAACGAAACGTCCATGTAGCACGGGCTATGGTGAGCCAGTAAAGCCTTAATTAAGAGCTCGGAGCCTCTCTTTATACTGACGACAGTCTGAATACAACAGGACCATACAGTGGCACCTCAAGGCCAAGATATTTGAATCTGTTTACATAGTCAAGCTGGGAGCCATCAGGCAGTTGCATCTTGCGAACAGCTCCTCCCTGTCTGGGTGGACGCCGATTTAGTATCTTTGTTTTCTCTGCTGAGATGACTAAACCTAGGTCCTGACATGAGTCTAATACAGAGTTAGGAGTGTTCTGCATGTTAGCATACCCAATGGTGTGTATCATTATATCATCAGCATAGCTAATGATGTGGACGTTGGGTTTGCTCGGTATAGAGTTTAACAGCTTGTTTATTAAGATATTAAATAAGGTAGGACTGAGGACACCTCCCTGCGGGGTACCTAGTTCAAAGTCTCTTGTTACACTCCTATGCCCCTGGAAAAATACAGATGACTTCCTGTTGGATAAGTAACCTCTGATCCAACAAAGCCGCCGACCACCAGTATTCATTCTTGCAAGTTCACTCAAGATAACATGTCGACTTGCAATATCAAAAGCAGACTTGAGATCTAGGAAGGTTGTATATGACTTTTCAGTGTGCAGGGTAAGAAAGGTGGTGATGCAATGATGCACACTCCTTCCATGCATGAAGCCATATATCTGGGGATATAGCATGGTTCTGGTTCTATGGACAAGACACCGGCTTCCAGTCCTAGTCGAGGCCACTGGAGTGTTGTGTACCTCAGGTAAATTTATGTAAACAATTTTTGTCATAGTTTTATTGCAACTGCTTGAAAACGCCTTTAATGTCAAGTCATTATTTTAGTTTAAAATTCCTATAGAAAATCTCAGGAACAATGGAGGGACCTTTGACAAGCAGACGGCTTCCTGTCCACAGGGAGATAGCGGGCTACAGGTAAATTCAGTAAACATACGACCTTTAATTTTACCAATTTTGGGAAATATTGTGATAGAGTATAATATTTCCTGTAATAAACGTGTAAGTCATTGATCGCGTTGCTGCTCAAACATATTTATTTGTAAATTTTATTGCTTTATAATTTATTTTGATTTGTTATTCCCTCGAAAATATTGATCTACAAGTTGGAAGTGAAGCTTGTGAGCCTTGAGCAGCGTGAGCCAGAGTTCGGGCCGGGGCTCACTCCGCCGCCCTCTGCCTCCCTCACCCCTGCCACCACACGTCCTGCCAACCAACACGGAGCAAACACCCGTTAAATATGACCAATATGTGACGGTGGTGGAGTGTGAGGGACACACACAAGGGTATAGTGAAGTGTGAGAGCGAAGCGGGAGGAGGAGGAGGAGGGGGTCGAAGCCGGGGTCGGGACGGGCGTCGCACACTGCTCCACCAGCCGCCAGGAGCTCTACACTCCTTGTGTGTGTCTCTCTCTGCCCCCTGCCGTGGCCTCCCTCGCTCCTGCCGGGGCAACCGACGTCATGGCCACCAAGTATAAGGCTTCTGAGGGCGACTGGGTGTGCGGGGAGCCGAAGTAAGCCTGGTGTCACTCGAGGGGTGTAGTGGTGATGGCAGTGCTGTGGCCGCCTCCACCCTTCCTCATCTCTCTTAACCTTACATGGGCCCCCCTTTATGGCCACTCTTAAGACGTCTCTCCAATGTTCGCTTCACTATTTAGAACTGAACTATATTTTGTAGTCGGTAATGGTCAGGATTAATTAGTTCTGTTGTACAATTAGGACCTACAGCTGGGCGCTTGCAGTTAGTGACAGTTCAGTAAATACATTGTTTTTTTTACTCCAAGGCCAGGCTTGGAGGGGTTGTTGCAGGCTTGTAGGGGTTGTGGCAGGCTTGGAGGGATTGTGGAAGGCTTGGAGGGGTTGTGGCAGGCCTGGAGGGGTTGTGGCAGGCTTGTAGGGGTTGTGGCAGGCTTGTAGGGGTTGTGGCAGGCTTGTAGGGGTTGTGGCAGGCTTGGAGGGATTGTGGAAGACTTGGAGGGGTTGTGGCAGGCCTGTAGGGGTTGTGGCAGGCCTGTAGGGGTTGTGGCAGGCCTGGAAGGGTTGTGGCAGGCTTGTAGGGGTTGTGGCAGGCTTGGAGGGATTGTGGCAGGCTTGGAGGGGTTGTGGCAGGCCTGAAGGGGTTGTGGCAGGCCTGAAGGGGTTGTGGCAGGCCTGGAGGGGTTGTGGAAGGCCTGGAGGGGTTGTGGAAGGCCTGGAGGGGTTGTCGCGGGCCTGGAGGGGTTGTCGCAGGCCTGGAGGGGTTGTCACACTACATAATGTAGTGGGGTAATGTGGACTTCTCACAGGAGGTGCTTGGTGGGGTCTGATCTCATACTTTGTTATATTGTACACATGCGTTGTGTGTTTCCTCCATAACTTGTAAATTCCAAATTATAGTTTATTGTACATAATCACTGTACACTATGTATCTCATGTTGTGGGTCAGATGAATTGACTTGTGTACGAAGTGAATTATATCGACGCTAGACGAGCATCTCGTGGGGGGTACAGTCATTTCATTATTTTGACAATACAGTACAATACAGTACTTGTTTTGGCAGTCATTTTGTCGAGAAATGCTCATATTAAAAGCCATTTTTTTTTTCCTTTAATTTTATTTTTGCTGCTCACAAACACCCAGTACCGTGGGTTAGGCCAGGGTTAATTGTAAGATCTATTTACAAACTGTCTCCTGTTCAAAGGGACACCTCACTGGATGCAGTTTACATGTACAGTATTTTGCTTATTTGACAGTTCAACAAATTTTTTGCTTTTGAAACCTACCAGTGAAGCATACGTACCTTGTCCAGCCTATATATATAGTTTTAATTAAAATGGGATTTGCATGAATTGTGTGTGTGCAATTTGATTATCTCATTTATTTAAATGACAGTATTTTTATTATTAAAGCTGGTATAATCTAAACCAACTAAAATAATAATAAAAGATAACTAACCCCGTCCGGCTGAGCGGACAGCACACTGGACACGTGATCCTGTGGTCTCGAGTTCGATCCCGGGCGCTGGCGAGAAACGATGGGCAGAGTTTCTTTTACCCTATGCCCTGTTACCTAGCAGTAAATAGGTACCTGGGAGTTAGTCAGCTGTTACAGGCTGCTTCCTGGGGGTGGAGGCTTGGTCGAGGACCGGGCCACGGGGACACTAAGCCCCAAAATCAACTCGATAACCTCAAGATACTCAAAAAGTCCTTGGAATAATCAGGTGTACCTTTGACTAAGAAAAAGAAGGTAGTGATTCAGTTATATAAATCTCTGGTGTGCCCCATTTGGATTACTGTATCCAAGTATGGAGATTTCATCTACAGGAAACATAGCTGCTGTAGAGAAAGTAACACCGGGCAACAAAAATCATTCCAGAGCTAAGTCAACTCTTGTATCAGGAACGGTTGAGGACCACAGGGCTAACAACACTACAAACCAAGCATGACAGGGTGGATCTCATTGAAACTTTTAAAATATTGAATAATTTGGAGGATGTTGATTTGGACAATTTCTTGAAAAGGTTAGATGTAACACAAACAATAAGCAATAGTTTCAAGCTCAGCAAGCAACAATGTAAGACTGGGAACAGGGGAACAGGGTTGTAAACCCATAAATCTGCCTTCCCAATGAAGCAGTTCATGCCAAAACTGTTCAGTTTTAAGATCCAACTAGATCAGGGCAATTGGAGGAACCTTTGACAAATTGCCAGCTTCCAGTCCTCTTCGAGGCCACTAGTGGCCCTCGGATAAATTTAAACTGGTCAATCTAGGATTTGGCTGTTGGCTGTCAGAGGCAACGGTTGTTCCATTTTGCTTGACAGTTGATGCTTCTCACCCAGGCCAGTTGTGTTCGCTGCAAGTCTCAGTGTTTGTGCCCTGCTTGGTGCAGAGTTCGTGTTACAGATGTGGTCACTTGTGCTCCTCCAGTAAAGCAATCTGCTTGTGTAGGCCTATAGTTTTCTACATGAATAGGCTACATAATTATTGGTACTGCATTTGTTGATATATAAAATATCTGGATGGAGGATCTCATGGGTATTCAAATTCTGCAGGAGAAGCCGGATGTGGTGAAGTTCCAGATGGATTGTATCTTTAAAGCATTCCTAGGTTGTTGTGATGGTAAATCCTTTCCATTACCTGATGGGGCAGGAACGGTGACCACTTGGAATCTCCTCATAATGATGACATATGTCATTATTATGACATGGTGTATTACTGTGGTTCAGTGATGCATAACATGACTGTGCTCAAAATGCTTGATGTGGTTCTTGCAAATCTTCTAAGCAATGTATAAAGGTACATGTATTGCACATTTGGTGGAACAAGATAACATTTGGCCAAGCAAGGGTTTATTTAACGGCACCTGTGCAGCCCCAGACTTGCTTTCAGTGTGGATCCTTGGGGCACCTTGTTGTGTGCCTGCTAGGTGGATACAGTGGCTTGGGTGAACATCTTTAAGGAGTCCTCCTTTCCCACATGGGTTACTGATGTTCGTGTCAACATGGATGGCAAGGACGGTCTCAAGTCTGTGAGCAATGTGGGTGATGCTGCCCTGTGTACACAAGACTCGGGTGGAAACACCCCAGTGGTGGTGCGTCGTATGCATGGTGGTATCGACCATGTACTCGCCTAGTTGTGCTTGCAGGTGTTGAGCTTTGGCTCTTTGGTCCCGCCTCTCAACTGTCAATCAACTGGTGTACAGGTTTCAGAGCCTTACCTTGAGGTTACCTTGAGGTGCTTCCGGGGCTTAGCGTCCCCGCGGCCCGGTCGTCGACCAGGCCTCCTGGTTGCCGGACTGATCAACCAGGATGTTGGACGCGGCTGCTCGCAGCCTGACGTACGAGTCACAGCCTGGTTGATCAGGTATCCTTTGGAGGTGCTTATCCAGTTCTCTCTTGAACACTGTGAGGGGTCGGCCAGTTATGCCCCTTATGTGTAGTGGAAGCGTGTTGAACAGTCTCGGACCTCTGATGTTGATAGTTCTCTCTCAGAGTACTAGTTGCACCTCTGTTTTTCAACGGGGGTATTCTGCACATCCTGCCATGTCTTCTGGTCTCATGTGATGTTATTTCTGTGTGCAGGTTTGGGACCAGCCCCTCTAATATTTTCCACGTGTAAATTATTATGTACCTCTCCCGCCTGCGCTCAAGGGAGTACAGTTTTAGGCTCTTTAGTCGGTCCCAATAGTTTAGATGTTTTACTGAGTGGATTCTAGCAGTAAAGGATCTCTGCACGCTCTCCAGTTCAGTAATTTCTCCAGCTTTGAAAGGTGCTGTCATTGTGCAGCAGTACTCCACTCTAGAGAGCACAAGCGTTTTGAAAAGTATCATCATCGGTATAGCATCTCTAGTGTGAAAAGTTCTTGTTATCCAACCTGTCATTTTTCTTGCAGTTGTGACGGCTACTTTATTGTGTTCTTTAAAGGTAAGGTCTTCCGACATGAGTACACCCAGATCCTTTACATTGCCTTTTCGTTCTATGTTATGATTTGCCTGAGTTTTGTACGTGGTTTCCGTTTTTATATTTTCATTTTTTCCATAGCGCATGAGCTGGAACTTATCTTCGTTAAACACCATATTATTTTCTGTAGCCCATAGAAAGACCTGATCTACATCTGACTGGAGGTTCGCCGTGTCCTCTATGTTGCCTACTCTCATAAAGATCCTAGTGTCATCTGCAAAGGATGATACAGTGCTATAGGTTGTGTTCTTGTCTATGTCCGAAATGAGGATGAGAAAAAGTACTGGAGCAAGCACAGTACCCTGGGGGACTGAGCTCTTCACGGTTGATGGGCTGGATTTTATTTTGTTGACTATTACACATTGGGTTCTGTTGGTCAGGAAATTGTAGATCCATCTGCCTATTTTTCTGGTAATTCCTTTTGAACGCATTTTATGTGCAATAACACCATGGTCACATTTATCAAAAGCTTTTGCGAAATCTGTGTAAATTACATCCGCGTTATGTTTGTCTTCCATAGCATCTAATGCAATATCATAGTGGTCCAGCAACTGCGACAGGCAAGAGCGCCCTGTTCTGAAACCATGTTGTCCGGGGTTATGGAGTTGCTGTGATTCCATGTATTTTGTGATTTTACTTCTTAGCACTCTCTCAAAAATTTTTATGATATGCGATGTTAGCGCTATCGGTCTGTAATTTTTTGCCTCTGCCTTATTTCCTCCTTTATGAAGTGGTGCTATCTCTGCTGTTTTTAGTATATCAGGAATAACGCCAGTATCTAGGCTTTGTCTCCACAGAATGTGGAGGGCCTGCGATAGTGTTTTTTTACAGTTCTTTATGAATATGGAGTTCCAAGAATCCGGGCCTGGTGCAGAGTGCATAGGCATACTGTTTATGGCTTCTTCAAAATCCAGTGGGGATAGGGTGACGTCTGATATATGATTTGATGTTGGTATCGTATCCATGAAAAATTCATTTCGGTTATCAATCTTTAGTGTGTTTAATGGCTCGCTGAAAACAGAGTCGTACTGCGTCCTCAGTAGCTCGCTCATTTCTTTGTTGTCATCGGTGAAAG